TTGGGATGAGAAGTTCCAGGCAGGGAGGTCTGAGGGAAGACACAGAGCCCCTGCGGCACCTCGGGCTCAACGTGACACCCAAAACATCCAAAGAATTCTCTGCTTTTCATCAAACTTCCACATTGCTCCTTAAAAAGAGCTTTCAGCTCCTGGGCAGAAAATCCTGAGCTCTTCATTCCTGTTTACGCCCATTTTGAGGAGCTGCTCCCAGGAACATCATGGTTGGGTTCTATGGAATTTTCCCCTCTGCCTGAGCAGAGGCTCCAAGGACTCGGGATGACAGCGAGAAGCCAACCTGGGGCCACCTGAGCTCTCCTCTCCTTGACAACCTGATCCCTTTAACCTTCCAGAGCAGCCTGGGATAAGCTGTCAGCCCCAGGAGGATCGCAGGGATGCGGGGCTGGGATCACAGTGAGCCCCAAACGAAGCAGGCATTAATTAACATGGCAGAGAGTGAGAAGGGCTTCACTCAAAGGGGTCACGGGCACTGGAAACACAGTAAGGGGCCAGGCTGGGATGTCCCACAGGCAGATCTGGCTGTGCCACCTCCCCTGGCAGCTCCAGGGACTGTCCTTCCCTGTCCTTCCCCGTCCCTTGGGTTTAGGGGGCCCAGATCATGCAAAACCCCCCCAGATATCCAAGGAGATCCAGAGGGATGGAGCTGCATCCAGCAGCGTTGCCATGGCGATGGTGCATGAGCTGGCAGAGGATGCACAACCCCCCCTCGCCGGTCTGGGAGCATCAGAGAACCCCAAAATCCAGAAATCCAGAGCCCCCAGGCCGGGCAGGAGCTGCTGGGGGCAGTGCCAGGTGCTGCCGGSTGGGGACAGGGACGGGACGGCACCAAAACCTCACGGAGCCACCCCCCGTAACCGGGATGGGGTGGGGGGAAAGGCCACAGGTCCAACAGGGCTTGAGATGCGCATCCGTCACCCCAAAACCAGCCCCCAGCCCCAAAACCAACCCCAAACCAGCTCCCAACCCCAAAACCAACCCCAAACCAGCGTCCAGTTCCAAAATCACCCCTAAACCAGCCCCCAATCCCAAAAATCAGTCCCTCAACCCCTTCACCCCCAGCCTCTCCCGCCCCATCGCAGGGTCCACGCGGGTGCCCAGCTCCCCGCTCCATCCACTGTTTTATTGCTGAATTCCCGTCCCCCCATCCCTCTTTCCTGCTCCGAACGCGCCGTTACGCAACAGCCACGGCCTCATCCTGCCCGCTCCGGCCTCCCTCCCTCCTACCTTTCCCTGGGTCATGGCTGCAGCCTGGACCGCGGGAGGGATGCGGATGGAGCCGGGCGTTCCAGCCCTTCTCCCGGCGAGTGTCGGCGCTGGAAGCGGCCGCCGCAGCCCCCGCAGCCCCCGCAGCCCCCGCAGC